CACTTTCCATACAGATTGTGGTTTGGTTGGACCAGAGGTGATATTCAGCAGAATCTGACCAGTTCTGGAGAACTAGTAGCAGAAATTTTGAGTAGTTCAGAGAACTGGTAAATACCACCTCTGACTGGCCTCACCCCCATCTATTCTCTGCCTCCTGAGTCCCAGCTGAGGAAATGGGGATTTTACAGTGTCCTTCCCCTGGAAGCCATGCCATGCCCACCAAGCCACACCCATAGAACCAGTAGTAAAAACTTTTGAATCCCACCACTGGGTTAGATCAATGTAATATGACACAAGGTAAAACAAAATCTTCTGCATAGATCATTGTGTTAGCCCCAGGTTAATTTATAATTTAAAAAATGTAGAAGTGGAGTCAATTAATGAAGAAAATATATTCCAGTTCTTATTTATGAATATAGCTGATTTATAAGACAGGTATATGGCCTGGAAACAATAATACTGTTCAACTGTTCAAGCAAAATACTGGTTCAAACTTTGAAATTTTCTCAGCCAGAATTATCATGATAGGCAGTATTTGAGTCCAAAGTCAAGAGTTGTTTTTGGTTCATTTAGCTGTCTTCCGCTAAAGTCTAAAAATCTTTTACCAAAAAATAAATAAAAAATGCTGGGTTGCATGTTTATGGAATTTTGCCATAAGGTTTGTGAGATTTTTTTCCTATTGTGCTATGTACATACATACTCATAACAATTCATTTTAGCATAAATAGTGTTATCAAAAGGAGAAAAGAAATAACAGCAAAATAAGTTAATGACAGGAGGTAAGAAGAAACCAGAGGGAAATTCAACTAAGTTTCACCAATTTTATTGATTATTCTTCTCTATACCTTTTTACACTTGCAGAACTTTCTTACTTCTACCAAAGTCATATAACAATTCATACATTGGCATTTGTTCTTTAAACTTGTTGTCTTCTTTTTTTTGAAGATCTAATCAACTGAAACCCCCACTGTAATTTTGTGATCTCTCCATTCCTTTAACTAAAAAGACTTGTGTCCTGTTATTGTGTTGAATTTGTTTTATTGTTGAGCTTTAAGAATTTAGCTGCAACATTTACAAAAATTTTATTAGGCATAAATTTGCTGCAAAAGTGAGAGAATAAATAAAATAGCAAAATAAGGTAGCATTGAGCAAACCCACAATGGCTCCATCTTCTAATAACAATACTATTTATTGATCAAGTAGATGCATGTATGGTCTTTATTCATAACTGGATAACCTCACACACAAATGCTGGAGTTAAACTGGTGCTCATACAGTAGGTAGGATTCATGTCGTATGGTTAACTGCTACCCTAGAACAGTGATGGCAAATCTTTTGTGGCTCGCTGCCAAAAGCGTGGGGAGCACAGGGGAGTTGTGCGCGGGCGTGCCACACCTATAATGCTATGCACGTAACCACAGCGTGCATACGCGCACGACCAGTGCTCCCCCCATTTTTGGCGTGGTTTTTTCGCTCTCCCCAGGCTCTAGAGGCTTTATAGGAGCATGGGGACGGCAAAAACAGCCCCCCCAAGGCCCCCTGGAGGCTTCAGGAATTTCCCTGAAGCCTCCAGAGCACAAAAAAACAGTCCTATGGGCAAACCGGATATTTGGGAACTGACTTCCGGTTTGCTCATAGCGTCGTTTTTTGCCCTCCAGAGCATTCAGGGAAGCCTCCTGAGGGCTCCTGAACACTCCGGAGGGCTAAAACTAGCCCTATGAGCAAACCCAAAGTCTTTTCTTGAAGTTACGGTTTGCCCGTAGGGCTGGTTTTTTGCGCTCCAGAGGCTTCAGGGAAGCTCCTGAAGCCTCCGGAGGGTGAAAAATGGGTTCCACCACAAATGCGCACACAACAAAAGCGCGCCTGACTAAACCGCGGTGACTAAAGCGCGGTGACAAAACCG